TTCCCCTACCGCACTGCCTCGCTCCCCCCCCCCGCCGCTCTTCCTCGCTCCAGGTGCTCCCCAGGTAGACCCCCTCCCCGCTCCCGGTCCTGCTCCTTCAGGTGTTTCTCAGGTAGACCCTCCTCCCTTGCCTGCGCCGGTTGAGGTCACTGGTGACTCAGGTCCTACTGAGAGTGGTCCTGCTCGGGGTGCTACTTCTGGGGGTGCTGAGCCTGGGGGTGCGGAGCCTGGGGGTGCTGTGCCTGGGGGTGCTGAGCCTGAGGGTGCGGAGCTTGAGGGTGTGGAGCCTGGTGGTGCTGAGCCTGAGTGTGAGGGGTCTGGGGGTGCTGAGCTTGGCGGTACTGACGCTGCTGGAGGTTCTGGAGCTGCTGAGGGTGCTCGCGCTGGAGGTTCTGGAGCCGCTGGAGGTACTGGTGCTGAGGGTACTGACACCGGAGGTTCTGGAGCCGTTGGGGGTGCGGGCGCTGAGGGTTCTGAGTCTGCTGTTGCGCGGTCTCCTTGGAGTGGCCGCCTTCGTCCACGTGTGCCTCTCACCCCGCAGCAGCTGCAGGACTGGTACGGTCGCCGTCAGCGTCGCGCTGCTGGAGCTAGGAGTCGTGCTGGTCCTTTGTCTACTGGAGGTGCTGGAGTTGCTGGTTCTGGAGGTGCTCGTGCTGGAGACACTGAGGCTGGAGACCCTGGGACTGGAGGTGCTGGCTCTGGGGGTGCTGCTGCTGGAGACACTGAGGTTGGAGACCCTGGGGCTGGAGGTGCTGGTTCTGGGGGTGCTACTGCTGGAGACCCTGAGGTTGGAGACCCTGGGACTGGAGGTGCTGGTTCTGGGGGTGCTGCTGCTGGAGACACAGAGGTTGGAGACCCTGGGACTCGAGGTGTCGGCTCTGGGCCTGGAGCTTCTGGAGCTGCTGGAGGTACTGGAGCTGCTGGAGGTACTGGAGCTGCTGGAGGCACTGGAGCTGCTGGAGCTGCTGGTACTGGTGCAGCTGCGCCGACACGACTGTTCTTCGCTCCGCCGTCTCCGTCGTCTCTGCCGCCGTCTGCCTCTGTTCTTCGTCAGGTTCTTACTCTTCCGTCGTCTACTGGTCTTCCGTTACAGTCTGGCTCACCGCTGCCTGCTCCTTCTCCTTACACTGAGCTGACTGGTAGTCCTGCTGAGCGTCGTGAGCCTGCGTCGCGTCCTGTTTCGCCTGTTCGTCCTGGTCGTACCGGTCGTCGTGTTCCTCGTTCGCGTCAGCCGGCTGTCCCCGGCGCACACCTCGTAGTCCGTCGTCCTTCCTCTGCTCCGCCGCCTGTTCCTCTGCCGTCTCCTCCTGCGTCCTCTCTGCCTGCCGTTCCGGACCCTGAGTCTGACCGGTTTCGTACTGAGCACCCTACTGTCACGTGTCTCCTAGCCACTGTTGTCACTGACCCGTCGTTTGAGTCTACTGCTGCGTCTGCCTTGGTCGCTGAGCTTGTTGACTTTGCTGCTGCCTGTCGTCTAGACTACGCCGCTAGTCTTGTTGCTGAGTCTGAGTCTGTCTGTCTTCCGTCCGTCGGGGGTGAGTGTGCTCTTAGCACGGACGTCCTTGAGGACAGGCAGGAGGAGTTCCAGTGTCTTGCTGCTGCTTTACCTCATCTTGTGTCCTCGCTACTTGCCCCTGAGGGAGACCCGGATGCACCAGACATCCCGACTCCGCGCTCTTACGCAGAGGCGATAGAGGGTCCCTACTCCTCTCAGTGGCAGGCAGCCATGGACGCAGAGATGGCTTCCTGGAAGTCCACAGGCACCTACGTTGACGAGGTTCCCCCACCTGGGGCGAACATCGTCAGTGGCATGTGGATTTTCAGGGTGAAGCGGCCGCCGGGTTCTCCGCCTGTCTTCAAGGCGCGTTACGTGGCTCGAGGCTTCAGTCAGCGAGAGGGAGTTGACTTCTTCCAGACCTTCTCCCCCACCCCGAAGATGACCACTCTTCGGGTGCTGCTGCACGTTGCTGCTCACCGTGACTACGAGCTTCACTCTCTTGACTTCAGCACAGCTTTCTTGCAAGGTAGCCTGCACGAGGAGATCTGGCTGCGCCGCCCCCCGGGCTTCACTGGGTCGTTCCCTCCTGGTACCCAGTGGAGCCTCCGGCGGCCGGTCTACGGTCTCCGCCAGGCGCCACGTGAGTGGCACGACACACTGAGGACTACGCTTGCGGCTCTTGGGTTTGCGCCTTCTACTGCTGACCCGTCGCTGTTTCTGCGCACCGACACTTCCCTGCCGCCGTTCTACATCCTCGTGTACGTCGACGACTTGGTTTTTGCCACTGCTGACACTGAGGCTCTCGCCCACGTGAAGTCGGAGTTGCAGAAGAGACACACGTGCACAGACTTGGGTGAGCTGCGCAGCTACCTTGGCTTGCAGATCACCCGAGACAGAGCACGTCGCACCATCACCTTGACTCAGTCACACATGGTGCAGCAGGTCCTTCAGCGCTTCGGCTTCACCTGGTCTTCAGCACAGGCCACTCCTCTGGCTACAGGTCACACGCTCTCAGCTCCACCTTCGGACGAGTCCGTAGAGCCGAGTGGTCCTTACCCAGAGCTAGTCGGCTGCCTCATGTACCTGATGACTTGCACTCGACCTGACCTCGCGTACCCTCTTGGTCTCCTGGCTCGCTACGTGGCTCCTGGTCGGCACCGACCTGAGCACATGGCTGCTGCTAAGAGGGTACTGCGTTACTTGTGCAGCACATCAGGCATGGGGCTAGTGCTTGGAGGGACGAGCCCAGTTGTCCTCACTGGGCACTCAGACGCTTCTTGGGTTGACGACCTGGCTACTCAGCGGTCGTCACAGGGTTACACCTTCAGCCTTGGCTCTGGTTCAGTTTCGTGGCGGTCCACGCGCTCGTCTTCTGTTCTCGGCTCCAGTTGTGAGGCTGAGATCTACGCCACCGCCATGGCTGCACAGGAGTTACGCTGGCTCACCTACCTGCTGACTGACTTGGGAGAGCAGCCTCGTTCTCCTCCAGTGCTGTACGTTGACAACAAGGCCGCCATTGCCTTGTGTGAGGAGCACAGACTGGAGCACAGAACGAAGCACATTGCTCTGCGTTACTTCCTGGCTCGAGAGTTGCAGCAGCGAGGCCAGCTTCGTCTTCGCCACGTGGCCACTCGGGCCAACACTGCTGATATATTCACCAAGGCACTTCCGTCTGGTGATCATCAGCGCTTTTGTACTCTGTTGGGCCTTGTGCCTACGTTTCCACACTTGCTGTAGTCTCTGCTTGTACTGTGATCTGTACATATATATGTATATGCATGCTGGCTCTTGCTAGGTAGCCATCACTGTACTGTTATTGCTGCATATATATCTCTGCATGTGAACTGGCCCTGTGGCCCTTTGCTTGTGCTCGGAATGTGTGGTGACGTTGTGATCCACCCTGAGCTTGTTTTGCTTCTCTTGACTGGTCGTGTGACCCCTTGTTTTCCCCCACTTTGCCTATGGGGGTGTGTCAAACTATATGTGCTGCATATTGTCTAGGCTGTAGTGGGGTAGCCCATATGGGGTACAACCCAATGTTAGGGTTAGCTTATGTACCCAACTCTTGATCAATGCATTCATTCTTGTCTCTAGATTCTAACAGTTGATGCCCGTCCGTCTGAGCCCTTCTAACAGCAGTCTGCGTAAGTTGGCGCCACCACTCCAAGGCCGGGCCCCTCAGCAGCGTCACCGCGTACTCGATCCGCTGCTGCGCGTCCGCCTCTTGCACCCCGCTCGCGGCGAAGTAGTTGTTGAGCATGAAGAGCCACGTCCGCACGTTCGCGTCGCGTTGGCTCGGGTCGAACGACTCGGGCTTCTGCGGCTTGAGTGCGCTTCGACGTTCCGGCAGCGCTTCCGCGCCAGTCGACGTGGTGGGTGCAGGAGTTGGTGCGGCATGACCATGGGGGTTAGAAGCCAATTCACGAAGCTGTTGCATTTCAGCTCGTACCTGACGATTTTCCAACGTCAACTCTTGAAGTTGGCGCATGAGTTCGGCTAGCGTATTGCCCATGTCGTGGGGGAGAGCGTGCATGGTTTCGTCCATGTTCGCTCGACGACTCCAAGTCTGCAAGTCGGCACCGCGGGACGATGACGTCGTAGTCTCGTCGTCGACGGCCGCTCGTTGGAAGTCGCTCCCCGCGAAGGCTCTGATACCAAGTGTTAGGCCCGACGGCCTAAGTCCGCTAAGGAATTAGCGGGGTCGACTAAGTCGAGGATAAACGCGGCGGAAGACTTTGGCGAAAAAGAGCGTCGGCGAAATATGCGAAAGAGTAACTGAGTAATTGAAGAAGAGTTGAATGAGAATTGGTTGATAATGGCAAGTACAAGAGGGGTTTATATAGCATGCAAGAAACAAGGTTGGAAAGTAGATTGTGGGACTAGGAATTGTGAAGGTAGAAAAGTAGAGTGCCACGTGGCACATGGAAATCTAGGAAGATAAGGTTGGATGGGTTGGGAAAAGTACTGTTCGGAATGAACAGTAAAACCCCCTGTAACACAGAGGGTCTAGCGTCAGTTGGGTTCTCCCTACGATTACGCCCCAAACCACTCCCATGGTGCCACCGCACCATTCGTCACCTTTCTGAGCCTCGTTGAGCCCGAGTGTCACATTATAGGGTTGATCGCAGGGTAATGCACGGTGGAAATGATTACCGTAGTATAATACTCAAGCAGAGACCATGATGGACAGAGTGTTTGTGCATGCAATTCCTTGCTGTGTCAGCATGGTAGCTGACCTCGATTGATCCCGCTCCCTCGGGGGGTGATGGAGGGAACATTGGTAGGCCACAACAGCACTCTTCCTTATCAGTGTGAGTACACTTGCCTGTGCTGTTAGAGCACCGTGGCATCCTTATTGCGAGCACCTAAGCCCACTGTGCCATGGCATGGTTGTGTTCAAACTGAAGCGAACGGAATTTGGCATCAGACGATGAATGATACGAATAAATGATTGGGAAAATGCATGTACCGTAAATTGCATGTCTCTGTTTATATCTAACCTTCAAACAATTCCATCTGCTGCTGGTTTGCTGCTGAATGTCATTAGCCTGAATGACAAACGCAGTGGCGAACGGTTGGGCTTGAGACGGGATCCGCTCTTCCTACTAGCCCTGCACCCTCTGTCGGCTGGTGGCAGCATCAGAAAAGGAAATGCAGAGGGAGGATGTGTAGAAAGTTTATGTTCATGTGCGGTCTGCTCCCCTGTTGGATCAGGGATACTGCCTCTGTTCCACTCGCAGCCTCGTTCGGTCGCACCTTCTGCCCGTGCTGCTGCGGCTGTGGTGACCTGTGCAGGTGCAATGCCATCTGCCGTCACCCCTGCAACATGACCTGCAAAAGGCGACGACAGCACCATGCTTTGGCTGACAGCCGTTCCAGCCTGGGCTCCCATAAGTCCTTCTGCGTGTGTCCACTCACCCTGCCGGATCCATGGGTGCCTCAGCGCCTCCTCACAGGTGGGCCGCATCACAGGGTCATAAGACAAAAGCCGGAGAATCAAATCCTTTGCAGATTCAGACACTGTTCCCCACAGCCTGCCCTTGAATAGAACCTCACGAGTAGTGTTGGCTAGGAAGCCAGTTCTGGAGTCGGTTTCAGGGAATCGGGCCGACAGCAGAGCGTACAGGACAATCCCGAGGCTCCACATGTCTGCCTGGGTGGTATACCACCGGCGCTCGTAGACCTCTGGTGCCTTGTACAGCTTGCTTCCAGTGTCTCCAATGGCCTCACTCTCGGGCGGCTTGAGAATTTTCGCCAGCCCGAAGTCGGCAAGCTTCACTGTGAAAGGACACGTGGCGCTGCGCAGGGCAGCTGCAGAGGATACCTCTGGGCCTCGTGCAGCTGAACAGTCGCCTGACTGTGTAACCTGCTGCTGACGTGGCATGCCTGACGTCAGCAGAACGTTTTCCAGCTTGATGTCGCGGTGGATGACACCATGCGAGTGGCAGTGCGCCACGGCGCTCACTAGCTGCCGAAAAATGTCAGCCGCAAGCGGCTCAGGAAGGCCGTCGTGATCCAGAGGAAGCGTATGAGCAGATTTGCCGCTGCTGACGCTGCTGCTGCCACTTGCGCTCATGCTGCTGCTGGTGACGCCAGGAGCCACACTGCTTTGGTTGTGAAGGAGATCATGATGCTGATGCTTGTGGTTACCAGTGATCTTGGCCTTGCCAAGCTGAGATAGCTGGCCCCATACAGACCGATGCTGCTGTTGTTGCTGCTGTTGCTTTTGCTGCTGGAGCACCAGCTGCTGCTGGTGAAGCTGGCGACTCAGCTTTTGCTGCTGGCGACGCTCCTGCTGCTGCAGGCGATTCAGCTGTGCGACGCTGTACTTCTTCCCCTTGAGCAGCTTCAGCAGGTCGCCACTGTCGCACAGCTCCATCACCAATCTCAGCCGCTCCTTGCTGTTGTATACACCCTTTATTTGCACGATGTTTGGGTGTTTACCCATGTGTTTCATCACCTTGATCTCCCTCACCAGCGCCAAAACTCGCGGATCCTCGTTACTGTCACACGCCGGCTTATGCACTGTCTTACACGCGAAGGTTCCGAAGCAGCTTCCTTTGCCGTCGCTTGTCAAGTGATCGGAATTTGACCGTGTACCAACGGCATCCGCATTTTCCGCTGGGCAGGCGTAGATCTTGGTGCCACGTGGCGTGACCGTGTACCGTTCGTGGCACAGCTCGACGACGCCGTAGCTCCCCTCACCCAGCACATTCCCTAGCGAGAATCGCGGCGTGAAGCGCGACTGTCCGGGGCTTCCGCGAGCCGGCTTGGCGGAGAACCTTCCGGGGGAGGCTGGGGCCGCTCCTGCCGCCGCCGCGCAATCGGCGAGAGATCGCAAGGCTTCATGCTTGGCAACGGGTAGCCGAATCATGGGCGGCTCCACCATAATCATTGGCTGCGCCATCATGGTCTCGACAGTAAGTTTTCACGTTCACAAAACAACAATATTGAATATTGATTCACGTTCAAATGAGTTCTACGCTCAGACGCAAGGTTCCTGGTACTCCTACAGCTGAGAACCTTATATGAGCAGGTGTCCGAAAGAGTCGTTGTTCGACTAAGTTAATTTGCCGCGCGTCAAGTGATACTACTACCAGATCGTACGAGGACTGGTCGACGTTTATGATGAATGACAGGACTTCAAGTCGGCTACAAATAGCGCACACCACAACGTTTCGCCCTAGGGTTTCCTTCCTGGTGTGCAGTGAGGGTCCGTGGTTTGCGTTCCCTGGCCGCGTGGTGGGAAAGGCTAGGCCCATGGAGTAGGCAGCACTGTATCTGGGAACCCGTGTGAGACAATGCTACTCGGGAAGACCAGGAAAGGCTTCACTATTGCCTGCAAATGGCAATCACGGTTACCATCAGCCACATGAACTGTACATGGGATCGAGTTGGTTTCATGTGCTGCTGTGCTGTGTAACATTTCTCGCACCACTGCTCCTGATGACAGTTCGCAACGACACGTCGATGACACACAGATGCGAGGGAGACAACGGTGGTTGTGACATCCAGCAGGATGCGAGTTTCCTGAGTTTCAGACCTCCGGCTGGCATTTTCCTAGGATTCTAGGCGGTTGAGAATGTTATACAACGTTCATGCGTGGTTGCCATCGGTACTCTCGAACCACGCTGCTAGTGAGCTGGCAAGATCAAACAGACCCGACAACTTTCTGTTCATCCAAACCTACAAGATGGTATGGTACGGTTTCGACTTGTGCTGTTCTGACCTACAGTACCAGAAATGCAACGCTGTGCTGTCGATTTCGTCACTTCTGTTGTGCCGGACTTGCTGCGTTGGGCTCAAACGAATCCTTCCGCCATGCGTACATGCGGGTTCTTGTGTTTCCGTTGTTGGGTGGTGTGCAAGGGATGACACGTGACGTCCACTTCTCAAATCGTACCGTACGAGCCGCGATGAGCCACAACGTGTGACATGACTATGGTCTGACCTTCCAGGCGGAACAGATGCACAAGTCAGGAATCAACCGTATTGGTTGGTCAGTCAAGTCAAGAGGATCTGTCGGCTCTGCGAGTAGTGTGTTTGCTGGTAGCAATTGATTCGATTTCAAGTATTAGTCATGCAACTGAAGGAACTACTAATGAGTGTGTACAACAGTCACTTATAGGTCCGTTATTGAAGGGGTAAAAAATATTATGTTCTATTGTGATGCAATGATTTCCATCCCACATTTACAAACATTGGTTTCAGATTTCTGATGGCATTGGATGTACTACAGGCAAACGTCATAGGCATTTGGAGGGATACCGGTAGGTTAGGTTGATGGGGGGTTGATGTATGCGATGCACTTGTGTAACAAAAACATTTGTTGATGTCTTAGAGATAAAACAAGTCAATCGATCATTCTAGTAGCTTGACCTTATTATCGCAATGTATGTAAATGAAAACGTTATAGCATGTGTCAGTTCGTAAGTACAACAGTTAGGAGTGGGAATACACTCGTGACTATCGCATGACACTACAGTAGAAGTACACTTGAGAATGACAATGCGAAAAACATTCGACTCCTACACCACACAGATAACCCCTCTTCGGCACAGTGCAAATACGAGCTTTACTCGCTTGACCGCACATCGCGGTGCATCAATTACAAGCTTCACTCGCTTGACTTTTCTGTCAAATAAGGGGGTGTTGGGCCAGTTGATTGGTACACGGTACAGCAGCGGCAGCAGTCCTAGCAGCAGCAGCCGTAGTAGGGACAGCAGCAGTAGCAGGGACCTGGTGGGTCAAGGAGCTATGGACGTGGCGTGGTCCACCCAGTTCTGAGCCACGTGGTGTCACTCCTCCTCCCTGCCTGTACGTTAGTCTGGCGGGCTCTCGTCAGTGTCAGCCCTGTGGCCGTCTTCACCCTCCAGGTAAGTGCTTCGCTCAGCTGACGGAATGTCTCCGTGCTCAGTACATATTTGGCCCCATTTTGGACTGGGGCCCACGGGTTCGCTCCCGTGGACAAGCGTTGTTTCAGATGACAGCAGTAAAGTTGCTTGATGATTTGGGATCTGATTATACGATGTATGCAGTTATATCTGGTTGCTCGCGTATTCGTGGTATAGGATCCTTGCATATTTCTAATGTAGGTGCTTGTGCTTCTAGTTTAGTTGCTTGTGTAGCTACTAGCCCAGGTGCACCTACGGCTAAGGCGTCGCTCTCTTTCACGCTGGACTCTGGCGCGTCGCAGTGCTTCTTCCGTGAACACACGTCTCTCACTCTGCTTTCTGCTCCGGTTTCAATTGCACTGACTGATCCTACTTCAGGACCAGCAGTTGCTCGCAGCACTACTACCCTCCTGTGCCTGGCCGTCCCCTTGGGTGTCCTTACTGGTCTCCACATCCCCTCGTTCTCCAAGATCTTGGTGGGTGTTAAATACCTTCAGGCCCGTCACGTCAGCGTTTGGTTTCCTCCGCCTGTGTGTTTTGGGATCTACATGGACGGTGACACGTACGCTCCCTTCGCCACTTTTCACTAGGATCCCGGCTCAGGCCTTTTCAAACTGCACACCTGTCGGAGTGAAAGGCCCCGCCCTCGCTTGGGCGTAGGCATTCTCTGCGACGACGTGGTGAATTCGACGAAGTGATCGTCGCATTGGATCAGCCCGTTCTCTGAAACCGCGGGTGGTTTTCGAGGAAGGTTGTCCTCTGATTCACCAGCCCGTCAACGAGCTCTGGTCGACGGGGTGCTGTTCGACGAGCTCGTCTTCTGATCTGCTTCTGGGTCGCGCGATCTCTGACGGACGGGGTGCTGTCCGAGGAGCCGCGTTCTCTGATCGAAGGGCGCTGTTCGGCGAGCGTCAGCTCGGCGAACTGGTCGGCCGAATTCGCGCGACTGCGAAACTCTGCGAGGGCATGCGAAATTCGCTCAGGTGGTTCTTAGCGAAATTCGACCTCCGAAATGGCATCACGTGCTCGACGGCGGACATCTGACGAAACCGTCGGAGCGTTTTCTACCTGGCACCTGCGCAATGTCTCTGACGGTGTAACCGTCTACCTGCACCTACTCGGCAGGTGCACACCTGCGCAGATATTCACCTGCGAATGCAGCGCTGGCAGGCCGGCAGCGCTGGCATGTCGCCCTTCTGCTACGCTGGCAGACCGCTCTGTTTCAGCGTTGGCGAACCGCTCTGATGCAGTGCTGGCAATTCGCCTTGCAGAATGGTTGCTAGGGGTTGCAATGCCATTCCAGAGATATCACTTTGCATGCTCATTCTTGTACTCTAATTCTCAATTTTCAATGTACTTTCAATTTCCTTAGTGGAAACTCTTGCCAAATTTCTCTGTGAACAGAGCAAGTAGTGAGAACTCTGTTAGAACGCTACTAGAGCGCTACGATCACCCACACAACTCCGTGCCCTCCTTCGTAGTTCACACCCGTTGTAGGGTGACTCTCCGCATGGTGCGGTGAGCGTGGAACGGCCCCGCGTTAGAACCTTCAGAGTAGCCGACTTTAGTGCTCAATACCTAAGTTGTTGTAGGCCGGCAGTCTAAACCGCCATGGTCGACCAGGAGGAGGTCGCTGCAGTCGTAGAGGATACCCTGCAGGCGCGGTTAGATGACGTTCGGGCACGCCACGCAGCTGGCGAGTACGGCGGAGCAACCTTGGAGGTTATGCTCTTTGGAACCCGCGTGCAGTGGGCGCGCGAGCACCCAACGACCCGTACTGAGGCGGATGGTCTGCCCGCCACACCCCGACCGGCGCGCAACGAAGGGGGCGTCGACGACCAGGTCGACGGTGGTAACCAAGTCGGCAGCGAAGGCAGCACGAGGCTTCGTGGAGTGATTCGGGCCGCTGACTTTGGCGTCGGCGGAATGCAGGCACGAGTTCAGCGCTCGGCGGCAGCGGGAAGTTCGAACGGCAACATCGATGGTCGACGCATTTCTCCTCAGCGGAGTGGAGCCAGGCCGACATCGGCGACTCATGCGTCGGCTGGTCGGGACGGAGGCATCGCGCCGGCGTACGGCTACTTCAAATTTTCGCCGGACAAGATCGCTGTGCCGAAGCCGCTCGAAGGACGACATGACTTGATCACATGGATTGAGTCAATCGAACCCCAACTGGAGATCG